GTGTGTGTGTGTGTGTGTGTGTTTTGTGAGGAATCAAACCCAGGGCCTTGAACAGGCTTACCTTGTCCTCTACCACTGAGCCATGACTCCCACACTTCTGTTTGTTGCTTTAAGATAGCTGGGAGCATTCTATTCATACCATTTGATCTTGATTTTTTTCCTTGTTTAACTATCATAACATTTTTCCTTGTGAAAATGTTTACCTCTTAAGCAGCCCATGATATCTTACTATTAGTTGTGCCATAAAATCCTTAGTCTCTGTTTGGACATCCATTTCTAGGTTTCTGCTTTATAAATACAATGTTCTTACAATTAAGAACACATTTCTAAGTAACAGGACTGCCGTGGGTAATAATGTCTACCCCAAAGAAGAACAAGTTTGCCTTTGCCAATATTTTAACTTATTTACTAGGCAACTTCTTAGGTCCATAGTAACTACAAGTCTATTGCTACATGTTTCCCTCCCAGAAATATCATACGAAGTTTCAGCCTGATACGTGTCTTGCTTCTCTCAGTACCCACAAGCAGGTGATAGTTCGATATTCACCTCATTTTATTTTTCAGTGCTAGAAAAGGAGCCTAGGGCTTGGCAGGTTAGGGAAGCCTGGTCACTGAGCTAGCCCCGCAGGCCTGGTGTTGGTGAATTTTCTTTTCCAGTATTGGTCTCTTTTCTGTGAGGTATTAGTCTTTCTATTTCTGAAGTTTAGCTTTTGAAAAGGTCTTGAATCTTGAATTAGTCCTTCAACCCTGTGTCATGTCTACACAGCCCGCCTTTCCTGTGATTGCTGATTTCGAGATTTCTCTCCCACAGGTTTACCTCTGCTCTCTCTCTCTTTCAAGACAGGATCTCTCTACATATTTCTACCTGTCCTGGAACTTACTCATAGACCAGGCTGGCCTTGAACTCACAAAGCTCTGCCTGCCCCTGCCTCCCGAGTGCTGAGAATTCCAGAGCAGCCGTCAGGATATGTCTGCAGTAGCTTACTCTCTATTTTTCGCCTGCACTCAACCAGTGTACAGAACACAGCCAGTGTGCCTTGAGCATTTTGTCATGGAACACGTTTGCTAACCCAAGAACAAGCAATGCATAGTGAGCATCTCTCTTAAGGCAGGGGAGGGGTTGACAAAGCATGCCTTGTTCCCGCTCGACACACTGAAAAAAAAAATCTCTGCTGTCAGTGAGAAGAGGATGGCAGCGGATGGTTTAGGAATTTTGTTTCCAAGAGCCATATTGTCCTTGTCTGCTTTCCCTCGGACCGGGTTAGAATCTCAGAGGGCCACTACGCCGCATCAGGAGCGGTCCTCAGACTGAGCCCTTCGTGGCATGCGTTTGCAAGGCTCCCAGACTTCACTAGGTGGCCCAAGGGTGTGTGTCTCAAAGCAGACTTGAGTCTCCAAAAGAAAATGTCAGCTCTCTTGAATTATGTTGGGAGAGAAACGAGTTTCCACATGTTTTATGAGACACGACGAAGTGCTTGATACCATTTTATTCTTGCAGGTGATGAATTATTGGCTTTAGACACAAGTCCTCAGAGGAGTAACAAGAAGAAAAAGAAGAGGCCAATTTAAAATCTCTTGAAATTATCCTCAGCCCCTTTGACATTTTCCAGACTGCTCGCCTCACTTTAGTGTCTGAAATGCCTTGTGAGTGCAGCGAGGCGTGGCTTCGGCACAGCTCTTTGTTTTTCCCTGGCTTAGTCATTCCGTCCACAGAACATTGCATCTTGGCTGTTTGAAATCCCTACTGAATTCGGAGAAACGATGTCTTGGCATCTGGCCTACTTCCCTAGAACACAATGTGATGTTGTCAACATGGGCCAGTCATTCCACTCGACAATATGTGTGCCTGTCTCATTCCCAGCCCTTGAACTATTAGCAAGAAGAGAGTGGAAACCTGGGCTTGCCATACTTTGCTGTGTTTCCTGCCTGACCACATTACTCTTACAATGTCACTTGTGAATAACTTGATCAGATTAGGGCGAATCATGTGGTTGGCCAATAGCGACTGGAAGGATTCTCCGGCGTCACTTTGTTGCACTGTTAGGAAATGTGTCCGGATAGACCTGCCCAGTGTCTGCTGTCGATGCTCCGCTGTGCTCCTGCTGCCTAATTCACGAGATCAGATGAGAGCAGACTGTTCCAGCAAGTCTGTCTGCCCTGCCAACAGCATGGAGGAAGAGCTGCCAGTGGAAGTCGAGGGCCATGGGACCCTGAAGCTTGTTTTCACCGTGGTGTCAGCCGTGATGGTGGGTCTGGTCATGTTCTCTTTTGGATGCTCTGTGGAGATTCAGAAGCTGTGGTCACACCTCAGAAGACCCTGGGGCATCGCAGTGGGACTGCTCTGCCAGTTTGGACTCATGCCTCTGACGGCCTATCTGCTGGCCCTTGGCTTCTCTCTGAAACCATTCCAAGCGATCGCTGTCCTCATCATGGGGTGCTGCCCTGGGGGCACCATCTCAAATGTTCTCACCTTCTGGGTGGACGGAGATATGGATCTCAGGTAAGTCACAGGAGAGAAGCTCTGCAGGGTTTCCCTGTCTCTGCCTGGGAGTCAAGGGCACTTCTGTGCTTTAAAAAAATCTTGCAACCTCTGGGTGCTCTGAGGGGAAGTACTACAAACATCACCTCTCTCAGCTCCAAGCTCACTCTGCTGCCAGCAGCTTCTGCTTTTTTCCGACAGCCTTTTCTATCCTGAGTGATGGGTGGGACTTGGTTCATGTGCAGCAACTACGTTTCCTAAGCAGGAACTCATTCTATGCCTGTTGGCAACTCTAACCATCATTTCCCAGGACATCACCAATAACCCCATATAGCTAAAGATACTGATGGTAATAGTAACAGGATATGTAACCAGAACAAAGCCCAGGTGGCTCTCTCGTTTTGTCTCTTTTGCCCACATGGCTCTCAGCAGGGTTTCCAGACTATCCTTCTTATGAAGCAACATTTTAAGTGACTGCCTGAAGGACTCCGGGGCAGCTGATAGCCACGACTGATTTTGGGAGCGCCACGGAGCTCTCAGGATGATGAACTGTCTTGTTACCTTTGCTCCTTTAGGTTTAAGCCAGAGCTTATGCCTACTTATGGGTAGATAAATACTCCGGGAGAAATTAAACTTTATCATGTATTCACATTTTAACAGTGGTGAATGAATCACACAATTTTGGGGTCAAATGTTTTGATGAGAAGTATAACATTTGAAGAAAGAATTGATGAGTCAGTATTGGGGGAAAATAGAGTTAAAAACAATAGTCTTTCTAGATTTTTTTTTGCTCATAAACACACGTTTGCATCCTGCCTAGGGAAAATATTCCATATAAATTTAAATCTTTGCATGCGTATGCCATTTAATTGAGATTTACTGTACAATGAGTGAATGAATGAATGAGTCAATCAGTGATTCAGACTTGATGACCGAAGTGGGAGTTGACCTCCGTGAGTCAGCTTCAGGTCTCATTTCTAGTTCTCTTGCATGTACCGAGTATTTAGTGCATCAAGCAGATTTTTTACCTATACATTTTAATGGGTGCTTACCACATAGACAGCACGTAATTAACTCTTGTATGACGATGCCTATTAGTTACCCACTTACGAGAGACTTGAAAAAAATTCTTGATAGTTTTGTATCTCCACTCCTATGCCACTACTTGAAGTTCAGCGAAGCTGTCCATTAATGCTCACATGACAGTCATGAAGTCTGGGTCCCAAGGATTTCTGGAAAGAAAGGAGACTAGTGTTCATAGGTACCGGGGAGGTCTGGGCTCTATCTTCTCTCCTGGGTTCTCATAGTCACCTTGTAAGTGGCCTTTCATTATTCTGAGAAAATGATTCAAGTTGGTTAAGTAGCTCAACAACAGCCACAAGGAGAAGAGCAGAGTTCACACTGGAATTCACATCTGGTTTATATCTGTTTGTAACTTAGGCAGTTTTTTTCCATGACATTTGGCCGCATAACCGCGTCATCTGTTTGGAGTATGAGCAGAGGTCTTTAGCAGCGTTCTGAAACATTTCTGTTCTGGGAAAGAGAATATTTATTACCAACACCCTTGACTCATCAGCATTGTCACGGAAACGCCAACGAACAGAGTGTGTGTGGAAGATAAAGGCCATTTTGTTTCTTATTACCAACCTTATCTCTTTTATTTATTCTGATTTTGTTTTATTGAGACAAAGTCTCACATAGCCTGGGGTGGCTCTGAGTTCCTGATCCTTTTGCCCTCAGTGTCCTGGTGCTGGGATTACAGGTATACACCACCATGTCTGCCACCCACTCTGTCCTCAATCAGCTTTCTTGTTAAGACAGGGTTTCTCTGTGTAGCCCTGCTGTCTAGGAACTTCCTTTGTAGACCAGGCTGGCCTTAGACTCAGAGATGTGCTGCCTCTATCTCCCAAATGCTGAAATTAAAGGCATGTGTCATCGCTCCTGGTTAATCAGTTTTTAAACTTAAAAAAAAAAAGGATTTATTTATTTTAGTGTTTGTGAGTATTTTGCTTGCATGTATGTCTGTGTACCACATGCATGTCTGGTGCCCGATGAGACCCAAAGAGGGCATCAGATCCCCTGGAACTGGAGTTATAGCTGGCTGTGAGCTGCCATATGGGTGCTGAGGGTGGAACCTGGGTCCTCTGGAAGAGCAGCTAGTGCTCTTGACAGCTGAGCCATCTCTTAGCCCTAGCATTTAAATATTGACCATAGTAACTTGCCTGAGAATACATACACATGTACACATGTGACACAGAGCCGGGCACACAGTAGACATGCAATAAATGTTAGCTGCTTTGCTTCTTTCTTTCTTGGCAAGCACTTCGCCACTGAGTGCCCCCATCCTGTGCTTTTCCTTTTCTAAAGTATGATTTTAAGTTTCACAAACACAAACAACACAAAGTAAGTGATAAGAATAAAATAATATTTATTTTTGTATTTTTGAGATAGGGCCTTTCTGTGTTGTCCAGGCTGGCCTTGAGCTGAGAATAATCCTCCCCGAGAATTTTTTAAATGCTTGTGGATGTGACACTAATAAATGCTTAAATCTCAGTTCAAGTTTCAAATAGAATATTCTGTCTTAATGAGTGGAACAACACCCGTATTCAGTACGTTGCTTCACAACTGGTTACCAACAAAAACCACATGGAGTAAAACTCAGTGGCCAGTCATTGACAGTCATTCTGGATGAAATCGAAGTGTGCTCAATCCCACATCTTTACTTCACAAACGGGGAAACTGAGGCAAAGCTCTTAGAGATGACCCCAAGTACGGTTCTGTTGCTTTGCCTCCTTTATCAGTCTGGATGTGGTTTTTCACCTGTCCACCTTAAACAGGTGTTCTGGACTTGAGCAGGTGTCCACACACATGGCATGACGGTGCCAGGTGCCTTCCCAGGGCCCTGGGCTCCTCACCTTGTCTTCTCCTCCCCTAACGTCTTGTTCCTTCCTTTGTCCCCCAGCCCACTGCCAGGCCCACCCTCTCGCTGAGCTGTTCTCAGCTCTGGCTTCCTGTCATCCCCCACTCGTGCTTCCTGGGGTCAGGCCCTAGTGAATTCTTTCATGGCCGATAGCTACATCTTCACAGTGCTCTCTCCACACTCAGACTCTCTGTTATCATTTTGTTGAAAATAGAGAAAGCAGTCCCCAACAGCGGGTCCCTCTCTTGTTCATGAACTTCATTGATGGTACTCAGTGTTGGAGAAAGTAGGGTTCCCTCAGCCCCTCCCCTTCTTCTGGGGGGTGTGGGATGGAACTCAGGAGGGGAGATGCTAGGTGGAGTGGGGCCTGAATTGGGGCAGGGACTCCCGCACAGCTCAGGGCCTTTCTCTCCCTCTCATGTTCTTGCTGGGGTTGGGTTGCCTGGGGATTCTTACTGCTTGGAGGCCATGAGGACTGTGAGAGGCACCACCCAGGTGCTGTTGCCAAATTCATTGTCATACCAGGAAACGAGTTTGACAAAAGTGGTTATTGAGGGTGATGGGCCTGCTGACACCCATCACGAACACGGGGGCGTCCATTGAAGAGGATGACGACTGTCCCGGCTCCACCCTCCAAGTGGTCCCCAGCCTTCCTCATGGTGGTGAAGACACCAGCATCGCCCCGTTTGATGTTGGAGGAGTGTCACTCCTGGAGGATGGAGATGGCCTTCCCATGATGACAAGGCTCATTTTCTCAGCTTTGGCTGTGCTGTGGCCCTCTTTACGTGGGCTCACACTGAAACATGCAGACTTGTAGTTGAGTTCAATGGAGGGGTCACTGATGGCAACAATATCTGCTTTGCCAAGGTTGAAGACAGCCCCGGTGACCAGGAGCCCGGTATGGTCAAATCAGTTCCCTCTGACCTTTACCACGTGTCTTGGTTGAGACTGGCACTACCCGAGAAGATATGGCTGTTCGTGGAAAGAGAAGGAGCAGAGAGGCCGGCTTCCATTCTCGTAGTTGGAAATGATAACACTTCCATCATGGTACTGACATATGTACGCCGCCGTATCCCAGCGCTTCCCGAAGTGACCAGTTTACCTCAGCTCTCCAGGTTTATTTCCCACCGACTTCTTAGATGAAAGTGGCCTCCAGCAAAACGAAATACTTATTGTTCACTAAACACACCCTGGTTTTCTCATTTCCATTTGCCCATGGTCTTCAAATATCCTTCGGTGCTAGCTGGCCTGATCTGTCTGCTCCAGCCACGGTACGATTCTCCCTAATTGGTCTAGAAAGAAATTGGCTGATACGTACAAAAAGCTTAGGCGCAGTGTGCCAGGGCCTGGCTGAGCGGCCAAGCGTTTTTTGCTGGACCCTTTCGAGTCATTGGGGATTAGTCAGATGTGGACTGATCGCTTCAGCTGGGAGACAACTTGGTTATTGTCCACATGCACTCTTGACCCGTCTCTGTCTCTCTGTCTCTCTGTCTCTGTCTCTGTGTGTGTGTGTGTGTGTGTGTGTGTGTGTGTGTGTGTGTGTGTGTTTAGACCCACCAGATCTGCTCACAGGATTCTGAAAGAGGAAGCATGCAAAGCGTTGTAAGGCCCGAGTTTGAACCTTGCTCACTGTCTGTTCCCTCACATACAATACCAATGCAAACAGAGAGACCAGCCTGGTTCAGGGGTGGGGGTGCTGGCTGGCCCCTCCATGGGCGGGACTACAGAGTCACATTGCAGAGAGCATGGATAAGGAATTGGTAACATTTCCTGCAGTATGCTCTGTTTTAGATGGGCAGATTCTTGCTTTTGAGGGGAGAGCTCAAGAACTAGGCAGTGCCATGCAGGAGTTAAGAGCACCATGCAGGACACAGTAACAGGATGCATCACTGACTGGCAGAGTCATCTGGGCAGGTTGCGGAAATTATCTATGCTGCAATGTCTCCACTTTTTCTTTTTATATTTATTTGTTTGGTGTGTGTGTGTGTGTGTGTGTGTGTGTGTGTGTGTGTGTGTGTGTGTGTGTGTGTGTGTAGTTTAGACCTCTCATAATCCGACAGCTGACCTGTCATCTGTGGGGCAGGCATTAGAGCCCTGTGTC